CTATGACGAGATAAGAGTAATACAAATTAATCTATTTCTTGGTGACCACTATCTCTTTAAATAGAATGAATATTAGATCAATTTATTAAATATTTATAATTCTATCCCTTATCAATTCTAAATACAACTTATGGTATATACAGTTTAATTCCATAACACATGTAACATAATTGGTTACTTAATTTTGTGTCATATTTTATACTAACGTTGTATGTTATACACATGTATCCACAATTATGGATTTTAATCCAACGGAAGACACGTGGATTTTTAAATTTTTTAATTGATATATGGACTTTTTTTTATTTTTTATTTTTTAATTACTAACTCATGTTTTTATTAATGGGTTACTGAAAATTATTAGTGAAGTGACTAAAATCGAATGAATTTATAATGTAAGGCATCAAAATGAGTCTAATTTCTTTTAATTTAAAAGTTGGAAACCGTGTTGGTCCCAGCCCTAACCCCTGCCCTCTTTAAGACTGAATCCTCGTAGATTTTTTTTTCGCACGGTCGAACTGCGTTTTGGACCCTGTTACGTTTACTCCGACAAAGATATACCCTCCAATTATTACAAGCACAAACTAAAAACAGTAGTAGTAAAAACAAAATTAATTTTGATTAAAGTAAAAAAAACCCTTAAATTATGTTATTTTAGAGTAAATTACTTTCAATATCACTTAATTTTGCCCGCTAATTTGTTTATACGACCGAACTTTTAATTTTATCAATTATAATATTGAATTTTAGTTTTATATTAAACTAGGTTATTCTATCATTAAGTCAGTAACTGGACGATGACATGGCTAACAGTTGTTGATATAGTATGTCACATTAAAACGACATCGTTTTGGGTACCACTATTGATGCCTAAAAATAATATCGTTTTAGGTACTAAACTTTAGGGGTATATCAATTTTGTCATTGAACTTTTAAACAATATATGTTTTTTGCACTGCATTTTCTAATCACAGTCAACAACCAATCATTGTTTGTCACTGGTTATATTTTGCGGCAAGATCAATACCAAAATATTCGCATTTCACTCTTTTTCTATTCCTAGATTAGTTTTTTCACGAAACCCACTCAAAAATGATGAACATCTATTTAAAAGTTTAACATATTAATACTTTGATATATTTCAATGGTTTTTCAATGAGGCTAGTATGAGGTATATTGTTAGTTTTCTCGAAATAATGCTTCTCACTGTTCAAATTTTCAAAAAAACACCCCAAAATCCTGTAAATCTAAGAAAGTTCAAAAACATCTAAAAATGGTAATTTTTTATTTAATTTCGTCATGAAAAACTAATTATATGAAAAGAATAAGGAGTGAAATGAAAACATTTTAGTACCATTTTTTTCATGAAAAACAATCGGTAATGGACAAAGATTGGTTGCCAGTTGTGATCGAAAAAATGCACTGCAAAAATGGTAAATTATTTAAAAAATTTATTAGAAAAATCAATACATTCTTAAAGTTCAGTGTCTAAAATAACATCGTTTCAGGGATCAAAACAACGACACCAAAATGACATCATTTTGTTGTGGCATACCATATCATCAACTGTTACCTGTGTCATTGTCATGTTACCGACTTAATGACGGAATGACATAATTGAAAGTAAAACTAAAATTCAATGCCATGTTTGGTAAAATTGAAAGTTCAATAGTATAAACGAGTCAACAAGTAAATTTTAGTGGTATATTGTGTAATTTATCACATTTTTAATGAAATATTTATATTGTCTTTTTATTAAAAATAAATTATTAAGAATATTATTTTGTAATCATTTTGAGTATTATCATTTTTCAGTTAAATGATTTTTTTTATCAAAATTTTTTGATATATCACAAAGATTTAAGTATTTTTTTTATAAAAAAATATTTAGATACTTCAAATAAAAAATATATAATTTAGATACTTGTTTTGATTAAATATTATTTAGATATTTAGAGTGATTATATATAATAATTTAAAGATTTATTTAGATAAAAATAGTTTATTTTCTTAGAACAAAAAATAACATGATTTAAAATGTTCTTTAATTTAATTAAACCTTAATATTTTCATCAATCGTGTATAATTTTATATATTATTTATGATAAAAATTATATTATAATTTAAAGTAAAATTGAGTATTTTTTTATAAAAGTAAATCGAGTGAAATTAATTTTCAAAATCCTGTAATCACATATTATTATATTTTTTTGGTACGAAAAAGTTTAGGTTATGGATGACTCTCCTTATTTAGGGTCATATCATACATAAGACTCAATTGAAATTTATATAGAAATTTACAGATTGTTTACCAAGAGTGACTATAGAATTCAAACTCAACCACTTACACTAATACTAGTTTGCATCACATATTATTATACGAGTTATTGACAGGGTACAAAATTATACATAAAATGTAAGTCCATGAAAAAATATATAACTTTAAAGTTACAGTTTTCAATCATATCAACACCACATTAAATATATATTAAATCAATTATTACAAATATGAAATCATATAATGAACTTAACTCTCAATTCAATTCAAACTGAAATTAATTAAAAAATCCATGCATGGTTTACGTGGTAGGAGACTTGAACCTGAAATTGTTTGGGATTATTACATAGTTTTAGTTATACAGACCGGGGTTAGAAATTATCATGCGTCTTTATATAATATTTAATTAAATAAAAACAGACATATTTCATTCACTAATTTATTTTTAAAGAAAATATTTCATGCATATTATCAAATATATATTAACATTTTCCATATCAAGTTTACAATTTATATTCGAAATTTATGATTATTTATCATTTTAAAAATTAAAATTGTATTCATCAAAATTTTAAGTTTAATTATAATTCTATCAAGAGGGAGGAAAGAAGGAATTAAGAAAATATAAAGAGATAAAGATGAACAATTTGACAAATAGATTAAATATGATTGTTAAATTAAAATGTCAACTGTTATCGTTAAAAATAAAGGAAAAAGTGGAGAGATTTCAACCATGATTAGTAAAAAAAAAAAAAAAAGACAATAAATCTAAGGTTAAATCCACTACTCTTATTTATGTAGGGTGCTTTGGCACTTTGCATGGTTGGATATTAGCTGTAAAATAAGAAAACAATAACAAATTATTCATATATTTCACTTTTTTTGTAAATTTTATTTTCCTGAATTAATCACTCTATTTTATTGCTTCAAAAACCCTATAGAAAGTAAAGAACTCTTTCATAAGCAAACCCCTTCTCCCACTCCTCTTTCATGCTACTTCTCTTTCCATATTCACTCTTTCTCAGCTCATTTGAGCCTTTAGCAGTGTTGGAGTTTAAAGCTTTATACCAACTTTTGCAGATTTTGGATTAAAGCTATTTTGATTCTTAAAGTTTTGAACTTGTAAAAAAAAGGTTTTTGGCAATAACGTTCCAGTCTTTTAGTCCTTCAAAAAAGTTTGCTGCTTTCAATGTTTTCTTGGAGGAAACTAGAACAAACCTGAATTCTGGACTTTGGGGTCTTTCCTGAACAAAAACTATCAACTACAGTTTTCTTTTGTTGAATTTGGATGTTTTCGTGAGTTGGGTCCTGAAAATTTTCAACTTTCAGTACACTGCTTGAGTTCATCTCTTTGGCCAATGCAAACTTTATGTTCTTACTGAAATCCTATCTGAGTTCGTTTGCTTTAAAGCACCTTTACTTGTAATGTTAATTCAGTATATTTATTATGCTGGTACTCTGTTTTTAATGAAATTGGAGGTGCTTGCTTGTGAGTGTAAGCATGATATTGCTTTGTATTATTGTATGCTTCAGTGTTCTCTTAAAAAATATTTGTTTAATCATAGTTTTGTTAATGTTTGGTTGGTATTATTAAGTTATTAATAAAACTGAAAATCATATGCATTCATGGTTCATCCATGCATGGATATGGTTTCTATTTTTCAATTGTTGCTTTCAGAAACTGGTCCCATTAAAGATCATTCTATGGATAATCACTAATGATCATGCTTTTTCCACCGTTTGATTATGTGCATGGCTTGGTATATTGCAGCTTGCTTGTGTTTTGACTAGTTCCAAGAATGATTAAGTTTACATTTTTGCTATTTTCAGTTCATGTGTTTGTTTTTCATTGATTCATGCAACTATTGTCTGTAACTGTGTAAGAAAGTTTGAATCGTTTATTTATGAATTCAAAGATTAGATGATCTTATATTATTACGACGAATATTATTCGGTAATCTCGGTCTTGAAGTATTGGATGGATATCTTTGATATCCTATTCATGACTGTTCAGCATGATGAATGAAGTCAGATGAACTTTTTATTATGTTCAATGCACAGTGTTATTTCAGTATGTGATTCTGTTTTTGTCTCTTTTTAACCAGTGAAAACGGGATAGAGATCGGAACAAAGATGGAAAACAAAAGGAGCCCTTGTTCTGTTGATCATAAGAGTTTCACTTCTTTGGCATCAAAAAGACAGAAGTCCGAATTATCCATCTCCACAAAGATTTTAAGCCTTATTTACTCCATTTTATATATTTTCTGAAGAATATACGAAAGGAATCTCTCATACGGATACTCGAAGAATGACTGTATTAGCTGGGATTAGCTACATGTAGATCAACTCATCCGTTTATCTCTTCCAATATGTTTTTTTTCGTTTTTCATTTGTGTGAAAACGTATGCAAGCGTTCCTTCAAAACTAGCAAAATGCCTAATTTATCTACATGGCGTAAACTACATTATTTTAACTTATTTTAGGGGTTATATTCCTGAATATGGTTCTGAATGCATCTTCTGCTATTATTAATTTACCTGCAGTGCCGATTCGGTTTCTAGAAAAGCAGAGTTTTATCTCTTCATTACCTCTCTCTGCATACTAAACTAAGTACTTTGGAACTGGTTTGGTTGTAGCTAATACAATCCTAATTTACAACTTTTCACAATAGGATAAGAAAGATAAGGTCAGCGAACGCATTGTCACTCTGCAGCAGCTTGTTTCTCCTTACGGAAAGGTACATATGGCAATTAGTTGTTGACATCTGAATGGCAATACAATTATGGAGTCATTATCGACATTAATATTTGACTTCAGTCGGTTGTTTCCACTGGAGGTTGCATCAAGCCTAACATCTTTTTGTCTGATAAAAACTTGAATCCTGACTTTACATTGGTTTAGTGTTAACTATGGCTTGACTGAAGTCGTCCTTCAGCATAAAGTTGCTGATCTTGCAATTTGGTTCATTGCAGACGGATACAGCTTCTGTTCTCTTGGAAGCAATGGAATACATACGATTTCTTTAAGAACAAGTTAAGGTCGTTTTTTCTTGTTGATTAGATGAATGATTGTAACATGTCTATTAGTTGGTATTAGTTGCAATTTCTAAATGCATGCTTCTACTGATCAGCAATTGGAAGTTCAATGCAATCTATTAATGGCTATGACCATGGTTTCAGGTTTTGAGTGCTCCGTATCTTCAAACCACACAGACAGATAACATGCCGGCTAGCATTAAACCGACCCAGGTACACAGAAATTACGTTATGTAACATAAAACCCTGTTTACTTCGCGTGCTCAAACATTTGTCATTCCTATTTACAGAACTGATTTGGTTCAATGTCTGTGATATTGATACACCTTTTATGTTGAAATACAACAAGAAAACATTAACTAGGGAACCATAATTCGATAGTTATTGGATCTTAAATCTGTTTTTCTTCCAGGACATAGAGCATTATAGCCTGAGAAGCCAAGGTTTATGCCTCGTTCCAATCTCGTATACTGTCAAAGTTGCTCGTAGCAATGGTGCTGATATTTGGTCTCTCATCAAGACCTCATCACCGAAATTTGACAAGGGTATCTCACCATTCAATTGACATATTTTTCTTCAGTTGCAGCCTATAGTCTTTGAACTTAACTCGAATCGGGTTTAAAAGGTAACCGACTTAATGTTGAATGCACAAAATTCCCTAATCTGATGCAAATATATATCTTGAAGCACTATAAGATAGGATGTTTCTTGGCATAAACTATTAGGCTTTGCTTGGTAGGATTCTGTATCCATAAACGCAGTATGGCACCTTCGTAGTTTCAAGCCAGTGCTTGGATTAAGCTGCATTTAGTCTTATTTGATTACGATAATTAATTTCTCTCTCCTGATCATGTTGTGTAAAATGTAAATTGATGAAGATGAATTGAATAACTACTTTTAACTTGTATTTATATGGGAAGCGAATTACATGGTGAATATTACCTAATGTTGTTTCTACACTTTAAATTATGTTGTAAATGAACATAGCTCTCAATGAATTGTTTGTGAATCGTTCATATAACGTTCGTTTATATTCGTTTATTAAGCTAATAAATGATAATAAATGAGTAAAAGCAAATATTTTATGTTCATTTAATAAATGAACGAGCACAAACTATTATGCTTTGCTTGGTAGGATTCTTTTTTGTTCACGAACAAGTTCGTTTATTGACTCATTTATAAGCTCGTTTATAAGTTCGTTTACCTAATTTTCTTTTTTAAATACCGGTGAAGGTAGAACATAGGGTGAACTTTGGAGTTCAAACCGTGAAGTCTAAAAACTTTAAGACTAGTGGTGTAATTTTATCATTTTTCTTTGAGAGTGTGCTACAAATATGTTGGTGAACATATTGATAAACACTAAATAACATGTTTGTGACATTAAAAGAACATATTTAGGAACACTAAATAAATTAAAAATGAACACCTTAAAAGAAAGACAAATAAACAAATAAATATAATATTATTAAACATTTAAATGGACACGAATTGAACATAAATCCCTTAAAAGAAAATAGGAAGAAAATTTTACCAGATTCATTAAAGCTTCTTAAGAAGTTTACTATTATCGTGATACTATTATTATTCTATATCAATTTTATTATCAAATAACACGATCTATATCAATTTTCCTTAGTTCAGTTTTCTGAATTTTACAAATTTTTTAATACTTTTGAATATTAGGAATTTGTAAATAGAATAATAATTAAAATAATATCATTGTAAGTATACATGTATAGATTTGATATGGTTTAACTCTATCAATTTTCATTGATGAAAGAAATACAAATTCCTAATATTCAAAAGTATTTAAAAAATTGAGAGTTAAATTTGTTACCATACTAAAAGTATTAATTATTACGTCCTTAAAATATTTTAAAAGATTGACTGGGCCTTTCGATACAATAATTAGAAAGTTTCAAGGGTGTCATATTCTAGGAGCCCAAATTATGTGATTGAATAAATTCTCCTCTATTTGTTCCGAGTCGAGTACTCCTTTTCTTTCTTCTTCTTCAAAATCTGATTCTCTATATTTATAGAGATTTCTTTTATCAACTATAGAACAAGATTTATTTTACATCATATTTAAGGGATTTCCCGATTCGGATCGAAGAAGTAATGTCACTCGATTATTATCAAATTGACCCCATTTTATATTTAGTCATTTTATAATTTTTTTATAGTAAGAGAACCTAACAAAACATATCTTATAATAGGAAGATATTTGCATATTTTACCCTATAATGTCATGTAACTTTACCACGACTCCATGAGCAAAAGCGGGAAGTATAATGTAATTTACAAGAGTAGACAGTAATAAGACAAAACTAAAGGTGGTTCCTCTTTAGGTTTTATTACTACAACGTTAACTTTCTCATTTCTCTTCCTCGCCGCCTTCTTTTTTCTTCTTCACTCTCTCTGCTTCTGCCTCTCTGGTACACCACTCTTTTTCTATCTCTTCAAAGATTCTTATCTGCACTCCTTTATACGTACTTTTATACTTGTATCACATATAATACGGGTTGTTTACTATTTACAGAAGGAAAGTTGGTTTTTCCCCTTCTTTTGTTTTTGTTTTTACTTCGATTGTTTAGTTTCTTGCTTCAGCTTAATGAGTTGTTTGAATCTAGCTTGGAGTATGTTGTTTTTAGCTGTTTCTACTTTCATGATCATTTCTTACTTCCCATGTATGTGGAAGCATGTATGCGTATGCGTATGCGTATGCGTATGCGTATGCGTATGCGTATGCGTATGCGTATGCGTATGTGTATGTGTATGTGAATGCCATGACCCATGCATGCATGTTGACATGAGTTTTCTCACATGATTATATCTAAATTACAAATTTAAGGAAGCTGGAGAGTTTCTTTGTGATTTTCAAGTTGCTTTTACCCCCTTCAGTTTCTGCAAAAATAAGTTGCTTCCAGTTTTTTTGGCAAATTAGTTACTGAATGCTTAAATTTGTACCTAATTATCCATTGTTATATTGTTTCTAATTCGAAATTCAATTGAACTTACAAAATCACAATGTATGGAATGATTGGAATCTGAAAAATTGAAGAACTTAGTCATCTGTTGCTAAAATTTGGAATACTTGTTAAACAAGTTCTTTCTTCACATTCAAAATTCAAGAATTGAAATGCATTTTTGAAGACAGTTGGATTTCTAAGCTTCAAATATGGTAGCTCTTCTTTATAAAATTTGCCTTATATATCTGCATAACCATTGATTTATTGTGTCTTATATGGCCATATGAAATGAGAAATGTTATGCATCTAATGGCTTTTGCATGGTTTTATACAACTTCCTGTGGGGGAATCTATAATTTCTTTTCTTTTCATTTTCCTTGCATACACAAGCAAACATGTCGTAATCGTATATACTTTCATTTCTTTTCATTTTCCTCCCGTAAGCTTCAAATATGGTAGCATTTTATACAATTTGCCTTGTATATATGCACAAACTCGCTGATCATCTTTTAGTTCCCGTGCATATTTGATTTTTGGGAGATTTGAGTTTTCAAAATTTAACATAAGCTGGGTTTTAATCAGCATGAAGGTGAACTATGGAGCAATCTTCTTCGGCGCATTGCTTTTTGGTACTATGACTGTTGTATGGCTTCTGAACAAATGCTGATGGATGTTAATCCAGGTAATAAACTACATTGTGCTGCAAAAGTTACAGTTCACAAGCAGAAGATGATTCCCTTGGATGATTTGATTGGGAAGAGTTCAAGGTGAATGATTAAGTGGGAAGAGAGCATCGATAACATGGAGATTGAGATGCATAAACAAAATAAGGCTCCCGAGAATATCGAGGTTGATATACTTGGATGCACAAATAATAATTACACCACAACAATTGAAATTGAGGATCCGGATGCAACTGAATGTTCCAGCTCATTTGCCGACACCATATCTGATACCGATAAATGTTCTGAGTTGAGTGATGCTGAAGTGGAATCCCATTTCATTGGTGATGCTGCTTTTGCATCTGCTTACCAACCGTTTAGTAGCGTGTTTCATATGAGGTTTGCTTTCTTCCCATAATGATGACCTTTTAATCATTATATATATGTTTGAGCATTTAAATAATTCGAATATGTATGCATGCATGGATGTGTATAGAGTCAATATTTGGCTACAACTTGATAAGCTACTTTCTTATTTATGAAGTGAGGAATGTCTGTTTAAAACGTTAGAGGTTTTCTATGGTAAATTCATCAGTTTTCGATTTGTTCCATCCAAATCTTGTACAAACGTTGTTCCGTACTTGCCCTTCAGGAAGAAGAGGCTGACAAATCACTGGAGGAACTTCATTCGGCCTCTCATGTGGCGCTGCAAATGGGTGGAACTGAGAATCAAACAAATAGAGTCTCAAGCAGGAAAGTACACCAGAGAACTTTCAGCATACAATCAGAGAAAGTTTTCTGGAATTGATCAATCTGCACTGGAAGGTTTTGGTTCAAAGTCATTGCCATTTTCTAGTCAGTATAACCGTAAAAAGGCCATAAAGCGGAGGAGACGAAAGAGAATTGAAGAAACAACCGATGTAGCGTCATACATGTCAAGCCATAACTTATTTTCCTATTTTGGTACTAGCTTTTCCTTTATACTTTATCATTGTTGTTTAAGTGTTTCTCTCGTCTCGCCTTAACCCCCAAGCTCAAGTGCGATTTGCTCCTAATATATTCCAGAAAACAGGAAAATCATTCCTGATGATGCTTATATTGCCGATGATTTTCCCAACACAGGTAATATCATTTTCCATTTCACTTAATCAATTTCCTGTATTTTAACTTCATTTTTAACTATTCATTTTGTAAGAAACTAGACCTATGGATCCTAGGAAATCAAATATTTCACCGTGGCTGGCTCCATTATGTTAAAAAACAGGCCGACATACTGAAAAACATGATCATATGTTAACTGTCAAATGGAAATAGTTCCTAAGGTAGAATCAGCATTTCGAATTCGGCTATGTTTTTTTTAGATTTCGGCTTCTCTTAGTTTTGACTGTGAAGTGATCTTTGTCATTGCTCGGTGCAGCTGATACAGACCAACATGCAGAATGCAATGATAAATCCGGCATTAATAATGATCAATTACTTTTCGAGTTCAGAGATGAAAATAATTCCTTGGACCAAGTCCTTAGGAAGATTGAAATCGTGCATGCTAAGATTCAAAAACTCAGGAATCAACTTGATCAAGTGATGTCCAAAAATATTTCGAAGTTTTCTTCCTCTGAGAATTTGAGCCTCCTTGCTGTTTGTGATGCTCAAACCAGCTCTGCCCCTAGCCCTACGGTTTCAGCTGGCAACGGAGACACAATATCCACCGGACCTGCATTTAACACAACTCAACAAATTTGTGAATATGCTGGAGATATAGTCATGCCCGCAAGTGCCATTTCAAGTTATGGAAAGGCTTTCCATGTTCCTGATATTATTGAAAGCACTGTTGGATTGTTGTCGTCTGCAGAAGTTACCTGCCACCAGCCACAACTGGTAGATTCGTGCGAAGATGTAAGCCCTCTTACCACACAGACTTACATGTATATTTTTGGCTTATTGTTTTGTTTGAGTTTGACTAGTCTTGATATAGTTATGGAAAATGAGAATCTGCTCATTATGATCCTGATGATATTTGCAGATTGTGGAAAATGTTCCGATACAGAACGAAGGAATCGCCGGAGATAAACAAGCTTTAATGGCGACAAACAGTCAGTCCGTAAAGGAACATCTTCAAGCCGAGAAAGTAGAAGGAGAGAGTGCCGATCCTTCTCGTGTTCCGACATCAGAACCTAATAATGCAACAGAAGACATAGCGTCTCAGGAGCAATCGATTCTGAGACCATGTCTAGCGTCGGACATCTATTTCCCTAAGAGCAAAAGAAAGCGCGGGGAACGTAAAGCCGGTTCGGTTGGTTGGAGCAGGAAACCCGCTGGTGAGCCTGATAATAGCCAGTGACTTCATTTCTGATAGTTCACTAAGCTTAGTATGCTCTGTGTTGCTAACAAGTCAATCATAAACACTTAGTAGGTACTGTAACCGGAACTCGATTTTTCGGAGCCACTGTTGTAGTTTCTGATAAACTGGCCTCAACCAACAGTTTTCATGGGGTCTGAGAAACTAATATTCGGTTCCATGACCATGATTTGCTGACACAGTAAGCTACCCCGTACATCGCAAATTTGCAATGAACTTAAATTTGCAATGAACTTTGATCGGATTGAATGACAACTCAATTCAAAAGCCGAAACAAATGAGCTCAACTACTTATAATTAGGAGTGTAAATGAATATAGTATTTCTTGAACAGTTCTTATAACGTTCTTTTATTAAGTTAAATAAATGAGTATGAACAAAATTTTTATATTCATCTAATAAATGATCAAACACATAAAAATTTGTTCGGTTCGTTTATTGATTTGTTTATCCTCTCGTTTATAAACTTGTTTACCAAATTATAATCATCGTACCATTGTCCAAAGTTGGAAGCCAAGCTAATGGTTGCTCTCCACCAATTTGTCATTTGACCATTTTCCAAGGCTTTGAAACTCTGGCAAGCCTAGGTATCCATGGTTGCCCTAGCCTTGAATCTCAAGAAAAAGAAAAAAAAAACCTTATTCGTAATAAATTATTAGGTAAACTACATATTTAATACTTAAATTGTTACTTTTATTTCGTTTTGGTACCTAAATTTTATTTTTTTCAAAATCATACTTAACATTTAATTTAAGTTTTATTTTGGTACCTTGCCGTTAAAACCTTAATGAATTGTTGTACATGACTTTTTTATGGATAAATTACACCATTCGTCACATAATTATCTTCTCATTTCTATTTTGGTTACTAAAGTTTAAAGTTTTAAATTTAATCACTTAATTTTCAAATTACTCCTATTTTAATCATCCTAATTTATTTTACATATTAATAAAATAATAATAAAAATATCATGTCATAAAAATATTAATAAAATAAGTTAGAGTGATTAAAATAGAAACAAATTGAAAGTTGAGTATTTAAATTGAAATTTTTTAAACTTTAGTGACCGAAATAGGAGTGAGAAGATAGTTGAGTGGTGAATGATAAAATTTACCCATAAAAATGTCAAATACAACAGTTCTCTTAAATTTTTAACGGTAAAGTACCGAAATGAAACCTAACCTAAATATTAAGTACGGTTTGAAAAAAATAAAGTTTAGGTACTAAAACAAAAGAAAACTAATAGTTTAGGCACTAAATATGTAGTTTACCCTAAACTATTTTATAATTACAATACTAATAGTTTAAGAGAAAATGAAAGAGTACCAAACCTAACCGTTCAAATCAGTGAGTGGCTGTCCAAATGGATATATAGTCTTCCCATTCAAGTAAAGGTGGTTGAAGTTTGGCACATTGAGTGAAAAAGTGGCCAACCCTACTCTTTTTTTATATCAATGCCATCGTCATGATCAACTGCAGTAGCCCTTTGATCATTTCTTTCTGTTTAAAACATATTCACTTCCAATTATAAATCCAACAAAAAGGTAAAAGGTGGCACACAAAAAATTGAAAAAAAAAAGTTGGACAATTTCATAACCACCAAAGCTACAAAAGAAAATTAACAAAAAAGGGTGAAGAATATCGGTTTACAAAGTTGAGAAAACATTACAGTAGTAAGTAGAAAGAAACAAAATAGAAATCCCCCACAATGTTTAGATAAAAAGGCTAGAAATAAGAAAGGTTAATAGTAACAACTATGTTGTACAGGGTCTATATGAAGGCTAGAGAGGGAGGAAAAAAGGATCTTCCATGGCTGCTGCTACTCTTTTTTTTTCTAGCTTCTTATAACTGAGTTTTTTGAAGGGTTCTTTGCAAAATTTGGAAACTTGGAGCTCTTCACTAAAGGTACATAAATATATGATTTTTTACAAGCATTTTTGTTTATATAAAGTTCTGGGTTTTTGTCAGTTATGTTTTTCATGATCAAGGTGATCTGTTTCTTTTGGCTTTGTGTAAATTATGTTCTTGGAGGAGTAGATAACATAATTTTCAGAAAGCGAGCTTTTCTATACTATAGTACTCGATTGTTAAGTTAATTTTTTTTCTGCCTTTGGATCTCTTTTGTACGAGTGTCAGACGTTGTTTTCTTGTAGCATTGTTGTTTTTTAACCTTTATACAGCAAAGAAGAATTTCAGAAAGTAAAATATCTCCAGCATTTTGAGTATTTATAGTTCTTCGAGGAGAATACTAGCTTCCAAGAAGGAAATTTTTTTGTAGAGAGCAAGTTTATGCTGATTGTCAAGGATTTCCTTACTATTATTATCATTTTATGAAAAGTGAGAAAATTATCTTCAGGCCTACGACCTTAGCTTTGGTGCCACTGGAACTGGAATCTCGATACCCAGATTCCTCTGTTTCCTTGTTGTGCTTTCTGTTCGTTCAAAGTTGTTTTAGTTTTGGTTTTTGTTTGTCATTCATGGTAGTGGATGACCTTAGTTTCAGGCCTATGACCTCCTTGGTGAGTAGTGTTGGGAATTGATCTTCTCCTTGTTAACCTTCATGCTAATTTTCTTATTATTGTGATTACAGAAGTATCCAAGTCTTAATATATTTTCTTCATTAAGAACTTTTGGATCATGAAGAGCCTGGAAATTTCCAAGTCACAAGGCTTATTACGCAGTTCAATCAGATTTCATGCATTGTTTTATGAATGCAGATACCACCCGCAGTTTAGCCCTTACACGGTTCGACCTGCCGGTTTTTCCGGTCATTTGGTTTCTTCTCATGCTTAGACCAAACCAGTAATGCTGGCAGTATGGGAAAGAAAGGAAGTTGGTTTTCTGCAATTAAAAGGGTTTTCATACCACACTCCAAGGAAAAGCTAAGCAATGTAAGTTCATATCTTAACTCTCCCATAGGGACTTTAATACTTCATCTGTGGTTTTGATTTACTATAACAATGAATGTACTGTGATTGTAGATGATCTTTACTGTTTAATGCCATCATTTTTCTATGGTTAAATCCTTCCAGGAACCAGATAAAAGGAGTGGTAAAGAAAAGAAGAAGAAAGGCCTAGGAAAATTAAGACATGGAGAAACCAATTCCTTTATTCCCCTCTTCAGAGAGCCCAGCAGTATTGAGAAAATTCTTGGGGAGGCTGAAAGAGAGCATAAAATAGTATTCAGGCCTCCTACACCTCCAGAGCAGCCGGCGACACCGCCTTTTGTGCCTCATCAATCTGCTTCTCCACATGGTTCTTCTCATAGGATTGCTTCCCCGAGGGCTGCTTCCCCTCCAAAAGCTCCTTCTCCACCGTCACTTCCACAACCTGCCTCTCCCAATGCTGCTCCACGTAAGGTCATCCGTCCTCGACCAGAACCAACTTTAAGGAACCATCATGCTTCAGTTACAAAAATTCAAGCAGCCTATAGAGGTTACATGGTAATTTTTTTTTCCGAAGTGCAAATTTCATGGAACCAACTGGTTTGAAAAGACGAGCAATGAAAAAAAATATTTGGCTATACGCTGTATTGTTAATCAGTTCAATATTTGGCTGTATGTTGTATTGTTAATCTGCCCATCCACTTTCCACCTGCTGATATTCATATAATGTAAATGAACATAATTCCCCCTAAAAGCTTATAGGCAGAACTTAAAAGCCATATGCTGTGAACAACTTTCAAATGTGCTCAGTAATAATGGGTGAAGTTTCCTTGGGCAAACAGTTAATCATATTGCTCTTAGTCGGTGATTTCATGTAGTATGATGATACACGGTAGAGCCCTTTGCATTGATATGTTTTGCATCAATGTTTGATTTCCAGATTGATTATCTTGAAGCTAATAATACAGGCAAGGAGAAGTTTTCGAGCTTGGAAAGGCCTTGTGAGGCTTCAAGGAGTTGTAAGAGGTCAGAATGTGAAACGGCAAACTACAACTGCAATGAAGCATATGCAGCTTTTGGTGCGAGTTCAGTCTCAGATTCAATCTAGCTGGATCCAGATGTTAGAAAACCAAGCACGACAGCAGGCTTGGTTTAAGAATGATAAAGAAGAGGGGAGTACCTTGTGTAAATCGTCCTTCATTCAGGCGGTAAGTTTTCATTAGTTTTATCTCTGACCGCATACGGTCTTCTTTCTAGTTTCCTAAGACTTTAGGTAACTTGATGAAACTTAGAGATTATATGTTCCTGCTTATTTGGTACATATACACTCCTTACGTTCCTGTTAGAATGAGTAACTTAGTTGAACATCGGATCAGTCTGAGGAAGGCAACGAAGACTGGGATGATAGCCTGCTAACAAAAGAAGAAATCGAGGCAAGAATGCAGAGAAAGGTAGAGGCCGTCGTCAAGAGAGAAAGGGCCATGGCCTATGCATATTCCCACCAGGTATATTTAGCACACCAATTCCATTTTCAACAGAATCAATTGGGTGGTTAGTTTCTAGACTCGTATTTTCAGCATATCTTTCGTCGAATGCTGCTAGTTGAAACAATACTTTTTCATCTCCCTTTAGTTTGACTTGTATAAGCCTAACTACCATTGATTTAAAACCTCTTTTTGCATACAGCTATGGAAAGCTACTCCGAAATCAGGTCAAGCAGGCGCAATAGACATTCGCACTCGTGAACCATGGTGGTGGAACTGGTTAGAACGTCAGCTGTCTTCTAGCAAAGCTCTTGAAGGCCAAGGCATAAAGGATTTCCAACTTACACCAACAAGGCAAAATTCTGAATTGAAGCCTAGTCCAAAACTGCCATTGAGCAGCAAGAAACATCAGTTTACGTTCGACAATATGGACACTCCGACACCGAAATCTACAAGATCAACCATGCTTCCGACTACACGACCTATGCAAACTCCACCTAGTGGAATCCTGGAAGGAAGAAGTTCAGGATTGTCGAAATATTCAAGACCAAGAGCTAGCGGAACGGATTCATCTTTAGACTTGCCCTTGAAGGATGATGATAGCCTCACTAGCTGCCCGCCATTTTCAGTTCCAAATTACATGACACCAACAGTTTCAGCCAAAGCCAAAGCAAGAGGCAACAGCAACCCGAAGGATATGTTTACGGGTACTCCGGGAATTGAGACGTCGAACATGAGGCTTTCATTCAAGTGGAGCAAAGGGTCTTTGTTTTCAGGCAAGGATTCAAGGGGTCTAGATAAGAACCAATCACTTCAATCTATAGGCAATTTGAGTGTGGATTCAACCGTTTCAATGCCTGCAACGGTTGGAAGAAAGCCATTTAACCGATTTGTTTGATCTTTTTATTTTTCTTATTTTTGTTACCTTTGATTATTTCATTTTGGTGTTTATCTTGAGTTTATGGTGCTATGTTGAGTTGCAAAATTTACTGATTGTAAGATAACGATGAAGATGATGATGATGATAATAATAATATATGATATGATGGTTTGAATGTCACGGTATTTGTGGTTTGGTAAGCTACTATAGTAGGTATCTTACTCTTTGTTTTACTAGGTAGGGTGAGAGATTTATACTACATACCTTTGCAGTGTGAGTTGCAAAAAGTTTAAAGAAACATTAAAACAAAAGTTAAGAATTCCGAGACAAGAGTTAATTGCATCATATACCCCTAAATAATCTCTCATTTTAAATTAGTCCCTAAACTTTTAAACAATCCTATTTTATCTTTAAACAATGGATATCATTCTATATTAGTCCTCAAACTTTTGAACATTTCAATTTCATCCCAAACTATACGCATATACTAATCACATCCCTTGTTAATAAAATCGTTAGGTTGAGTTCTATTGTTATATGATTTAAAAAAATAAAATTTAGGTTAAGCTATGGTTGAAACTAATTACATATTTGGATGAAATTGGAAGATTCAAAAGTTTGGAGATCAATTTAAAATGAGGTTTATAGTGTAAGGATGAATTTGGATTACTTAAAAGTTTAAGGACTAATCTAGAATGTGATTCATAATTTGAGGATAAAATTAAAATATTCAAAAATTTAAAGACTAATTTAGAATGAAAGTTATAATTTGGGGACACATGATGCAATTAACTCCGAAGACTCCATAGGAGCCTTCCAATCCACCTTCCACCATTGACATATTTTGGAACAAAAACAGCTCATCAAATTATAATCCACAAACAAATGATTCGAATCTTCATGCTTGTGTTGCACCTTCCATCATGTAATTGCAAGCTTCCCAAAAATAAAAAAACCTCTAACAAACGGGCAACGAGAGATAGACATAGGGGTATTAGGGTATGAGAGTATGGTAACATTTCTTAAAAATTTCAAATTTTTTTAAATGTTAGATATTTTCTTTATATTTTTATTGATTATTTTATTTCATACTCTTAAATTATTATAGTTTTACACCCCTAAATTTTTAGTATAACTTCTTAAATACATAACTCTAACATAAATTTCTGCATCCGTCCTATGTTCAACCAAAGTGATATAGAACTTAAGTTTATTGTTGAGGAACAATGTTCACTTACTTTGAACCCCAAATTCAATTGGACACAATAAAAAATGTTAGATTTTTCTTAACATTTTCGGTTCAACCGAAAATATTACATTCTTTATAATATTTTTAGTTGGCAACCAAAAATATTATCTTTTTTGTAACTTTTTAGATTCAGCCGAAAATGTTAGTAAAAATATAACATTTTAGATTGCGCCAAACCTAAAACGTTATGATTTTTATCACATTTTCGGTTGTGTCCCAAAGTTGTTGTTTTTTAACCTTAAATTAGACTGTCGTACAACAAAACTACTTGTTTTCCTTATGTTCATTTGATATGGATTTTGAGTGAACCTAAGTCAATGTGTGAAGCGTGGGTTGGAAGGTTGATGTTTAGAATGGGGTTTTGTAAAATTTTATTCAGAATAATTGATTAATAGATCGAATATCGATGATCAAATTAAAAATAATAAATAATTTAACTAAATAGATTTGGAAAGTCGTTTCAATTTTTAATATTTTAAGTAGTTAGAGTTAATTACACACTATGCACATTAAAAGTTAAATTAAAATCGAAGCAAAACAACATAAAAAAATCAAAAAAAAATTATACATATAAAGAATAAGATGGATATGATACAAATATTGATAAACATTCATTTATTTATTAAAATACATGTGCCCTTAAGTCATCCATTCGAGCAACCCGGTGTAGTAGCGGTAAAATACTCGTACATTAACTCAAGGCATTAGTTGCTTGTCGATTATAGCTTTCCTTGAATCCTTATAAAAATTAGAGTAAAGTATATAAATAGTCACACAAATTTTTAGGATGCTTACATTTTGGTCACCAACTTTTAAAATTTATAATACAACCATCAAACTTTTAATTATTTTTAGTAAGGTCTCTGTCGTACTCTCCCGTTAGGTTTTGTTGATGTGACACTTAATTGTCGTTAACCTCCCATTCTCATTCTCCTTCTTCTGGTACTGGTAGTGACAATCACTAATGACTGACAACGGAGATCAGGGATGGATGTTCGAATAATTTTCTCTCGATTTGGGACAAACAGTGGACGGTGAGTATAAATCAAGGGTTGGGGTGTGATCGGGAGGTGACGTCGGTGATGATGGCGGTGTGACCCACCGCTGACCGGAGGTGGGGTGAACGGGAGAAGAAGAAGAAGGGGGAGGGGGTTAACGGAAGTTAAGTGTCACGTCGGCAAATGGTTAAGACATGGACCTTACTGCAAATGATTAAAAGTTGAGTGACCAAAATGTAAGCGTCCTAAGAGTTTGAGGACTATTTATAAACTTTACCCTAAAAATTATACTTAAAACTTCATCAACGCATTATAAATAATGAATCAATTGAATTAACTTAATGATTAAAAGAATTGTTGTTCTCTATTGAGGACCTGAGTTTAAATAATTACGTCTTTAAGGTGTGTGTTATTTATTATTAAAAGAAAATATGAACGAACCCTAATCCTTTCTATCCCATCTAATTTTCATCTAAGAACCCATAGAGAAAAGAGATTTTTATTTAAAAACCTAGATTCCATACAAAAAACCCGGACATAAAGAAGAAAAAAAAGGGAGAAAACCCCCTTCGTTTTTAGAGAGAGAATGACTTCTGATTTGTTTTGATTTTGTTTAAATGAATCAAATGATATAAAACTGCTACTATTTGTTCCCTTTTTCAAACTTTATTAAGTTCAATTAATTAATTTAATTTGGCAGATTAAGTAACGATTCGAAAGATTAATAACATTAAGAATTCCGGAAATGCCACATGTATTACAGTTGGCTGACTGATATAGTTTTCTTGAATTTTTTTAATTGTCGTGTCACACATCCGTTAATGGATTAACGGATATTAACATCTGAGGGACCATTATATATTAAATCGATAACGTAAGGGATCAAACTCACTTATTTTTTGAACCAACGATCAAATTTAGTCAGACCGAAAATGAATAAGACTATTTGTACAGTTGATCTAATGAACTTAATGTCACACACAGGGGCATATGTAGGCCTATGCTTATCTAGGCCATGGCTTACCCCATGCTCAAACGGATAAATTACTTATTTAGTAAACTACATATTATTTACCTAAATACGCTTAATTTTACGTTTTGATTTTGTTTTGGTCAGTCGTCTTTAAAAAATTAGCGGTGTTGTTGATGTGTCACCATAAAATAATGTAATATCAATATTGAAAAATAATTAAAAAATGTCACATTAACATCATTGCTAAGTTTTTAACTGTAGGCGATCAAAATAGAACCAAAATGTAAGGTTGCGTATGATTTTGAAAAAAAATAATAGTTGAGTGACCGAAACATAAATTAAGTAATAATTGGGTGACCAAATAGTTAATTTACCCTAAATTAAAAATATGTATGGATTACGTTAAGAAAATTATATTGATCCAATTAATGATTTTTTTCTAGATTTAATCTATATATATAATCATCATTATATTTTTAAATTAAAAATATATATGAATTATTTTAGATAAAATTTTTATTATATTTATATTAATCCAGTCTATATATATATTTTTTGATTCGCCGATCTCACAAATAACTATACTACAGTAAATGCATTCATGACATATGCATGTCGATGAATATAATTTGTGAAACAATGCTATTTATCAAATGAATTCCCAAAACATGCATATTGACACCAAGGAGATGCCCGGTGTCACGTAGTTCGAAAACACTTCACAACTATACAAATAAACATCATGGTGTAGTTCAATATCACCATAGCATACGATATCACACTCCACAATTTGATAAGTTTTGATGTGTTTCCAAACTTCATTATAAGTTTTGATATGTCAAATTTTTAAAATTTGCATTTTAATCTCTTTTGATGATTTGAAATGATATGATGCTTCTTCGGCATGAAGCACATTATAAAATTATTATAATATTTAAATAATGAAAGTTAGTTTTAGAATAATGTGTCAAAATAAATTGAAAAAATCGAGAGTTAAATTTATTATTATATATGTAACATGTTTTTTATGGTCTAAAAAGAAATCAGATCGAAAATACTATCGAGGAACACAAAATCAAATTATCTAATCATATGTCATACATTGATCATACCTTGTCACACAACATAACATAGGTCATATCAAAGCATTTTTAAACTGAAAAATTAATCAAGTTTAAAATGATAGCTTATTTAAGGACCAACATATTATTATCAAAATATTCAAGAGTTAAAGTGTAATTTTTTAAAAGTTAAGAAATTAACTCATAAAATTCAACTAAATCAAATTCAATGAATGATCATCTCAAATATACATTTATTCATGTTATTACAAAGTATTTTTTTATGATTTAATTAAATTTTAAATTTTAATGATTTAGTGGTAGAGTGATTTAACTAAATCACGTCATAGTAAAAAAATAATTAAATATATCTTGTGATTATCTATGTTTTTTTATGATTTAAGGGTGGAATGATTAAATTATAAATTTTAATGATTAAAATAGAAATGAGTGTAAAATTGAATAGTGAACTTTATAGTTTATTCTGAAAACGAATACAATACTGAACCGAAAGCTTTAAAAGAGAATTTCTGCTCAAACTAAAACGTGGAAAGGTGCCTTTTGGTGTCAACTCCAGAAAGCATAGTTGGTGCATGTTCAACATTTGTTACCTTCATTTTCAGAACCAAATATAATTGCTGCATGTCAAACATATGTCCACTTGTTTCTTCTTTTTGAAATAATCCATTTACTTACACTCCCTTGCTCTCAGCCACTGCCTTCTTCTTCTTCATGCAAGTAAAACAACTTTTGTTTGTATTTTGCCCTCCCCCCAATATGAAAAGGCTCCGACACACTCTACATACACAAAACTACTTATAGAATTCGGTGCATGGCCCTTTCCCCAACGTCATAGCTTCGTTTATAGTGCCTTCCTGTGTTTCACTTTCCTTTTGAGTTCACGGGGTAAGCTCTTTTCAGTTTTCTGATGGTTCATTATCACATATTACTGATTGGGAACAAACTAAGAATTTACATACAAAATCATAATGTTGAGTTCGATTCATTCTTAGTAGTTTTCTTGCAGGTTGAGTTCCAAGTTTATCGAACCTGGACATTATGGGTGTTAAGGCATTAGATTACGAGTCACTGAATGAAAATGTGAAGGAAGTTCAATATGCAGTTAGAGGTGAGTTGTATCTTCGAGCTTCTGAACTTCAGAAGGAGGGGAAGAAGGTACGTTTGGCTTTAGTTCAGTCTTTTGAGTGTTTAATGTTGGTTTAATTATCTTTTTTCCCCACATATATTGTTCTCTCATGTGTAGTAATTTGTTTTACTGCTTTTAATTTGATGTCTGCAGATTATTTTCACAAATGTTGGCAACCCTCATGCTCTTGGACAGAAGCCGCTGACTTTCCCTCGTCAGGTATATGTTCTATTTATTCCAATTTTTATCTGTTGGGAAAATTTTGTGCTGTGCTTGTGCATTCAGTTGCTAGTATCATGTTTAAGTTGAAAAATGTGGTATTGCAGGTGATTGCTCTATGCCAGGCTCCATTTCTGTTAGATGATCCTAATGTAGGACAGTTGTTTCCTGCAGATGCAATTGCAAGAGCTAGACATTATCTTTCATTGACTCCTGGTGGTCTAGGTACATCATCATGTTATCTGTGGGAAAATAATGGTCAAACCACCTAAAATACTCGAGAATTCTCTTTAATATATATGTTTGTTAAGTATTGTACTGCAATATAGTTGATTTAGGAAGAGTTCTCAGAGTTTAAAAGGTATGAATATGGTATGCAATATAAATAGCTTGTGTTCCTTCACTATATATCTAGGTGCATATAGCGATTCCCGAGGTCTTCCGGGCATAAGGAAGGAAGTCGCCGAATTCATCGAAAGGCGTGATGGATATTCTAGGTGACGATCAGTTGTCATCACTCATAATATCACAAAAGAATTCTCATTTTTTCTTCCCAAGTGGTAAGCTTAGTTTGCACTTCATTTACCAATGGTATGCAGTGACCCGGAGCTCATATTTCTCACGGATGGTGCCAGCAAAGGCGTGATGCAGATTTTGAATTGTATTATCCGTGGTCAAGGGGACGGGGTAACATGTTTTGCTCATCCATTTTTCTAGAACTTGCTTTCACCATCTGTATCATCGTTTTGAATCATCCTAGTTCAATTTCTTCTGGCTTATATAGTACAGACTACAGAGATTTACCATCTTAGTGCATAATGCTGATATATTTTTGTTAAAATTTTGTATTTCCAGGTTTTGGTTCCTGTCCCGCAGTATCCGCTTTACTCAGCTACTATCTCTCTCTATGGTGGTTCTCTTGTTCCATACTATCTGGAAGAGTCTGCAAACTGGGGTTTGGATGTTAATAATCTTCGTGAATCAGTTGCACAGGCTCGCTTTAACGGAATAACAGTTAGTATGCATTATATTCTTCTTGTTCCTGAAGGAATTTGAGAAATAAGGTCTGAAACTACAAAGACATCACAATTAGATGAAATAAATGGATTGAAAGAACCTAAGTAAGACTCTTAGGCATACATAATTGTTATCTTCTGTACTACTCGTTGAAACTGTTTGTTACATTTTGATTTTCCCATCAGGATTATACTACTGTAGCTATCTTTATTCTGGCATGAACTTTTCTTTCCCTGATACATGCCACAACAAGCTGAATTTGCTTTTTGTTTGTATATGACCAGGTTAGAGCAATGGTAATCATCAACCCCGGCAACCCTACCGGTCAGTGTCTCAGTGAAGCAAACTTGAGAGAAGTATTGAACTTCTGTCACCGAGAAAACTTAGTTTTACTTGGAGATGAGGTTTATCAACAGAATATATACCAGGATGAGAGACCCTTTATAAGTTCTAGAAAGGTAGATGCTATTTTGCAGTTACCTGTTAGATCGAACTGGCATGGAGTTTTAACATTTTTATTTGCATATTTTTCCTTTGTACCACTGGAAGGTTTTGATGGATATGGGGCAACCCATTAGCAAGGAAGTCCAGCTTGTTTCTTTCCACACTGTATCTAAAGGATATTGGGGTGAATGTGGGCAGCGAGGCGGGTACTTTGAGATGACCAACATTCCTCCAAAGGTTTGTGCCGTCTTAACCAGCCTAATGATTTTCATGTTCCACGGTATGAGCCGAGAATTTCTCCCGATTTCCCAAATGTCGATAGGTGATGAAATGTGAAATAATTTTAGCACCATCACTATTGAACTTTCATGTTAAAATGAAATCCAACTGAATTGGAGCACATTATAATTCAAGGTCATGTGTCATATAGAAGAAGGTATTAGACATGTAATTGTTCCAACATTGATGTTATCTGCAAATGGTAAACTTGTATGATTCTTCTTACCTAATGTAGGACGAAATTCTGTCATGATTTATTAAGATTATTGAACCGATTTTCAGTTCCCTTTTGCTTTTGTGATATTTTATTTCAGACAGTTGACGAGATCTACAAGATTTCATCAATATCACTCAGTCCAAATGTTCCTGCTCAGATTTTTGTGAGTTATTGTCATGCTAATTTCTGTGAAATTGGACACTTCATTGTTACAGTTCTAGTTATAGTGACGGTAAGGTAAGCAAGCTTTCTCTTCTCTTGACAGATGGGATTGATGGTCAACCCACCCAAAGCTGGAGACATTTCATATGAGCAATATGTTCGGGAAAGGTAAGCCTTTTAAGACGAAGTTTGTAAAGATTTTGTGCGAACATAATTAGCTTCATTGATCTCGGTAGATACACCTTTTTAACGGTTTAAAATCTATGGTACATTACTTGAAAAAGAATGTTGGTTTGAGCATTGGGATGTTGAATTTCACTATGTCATGAAGAAAGAGATTTCTCCTTTAGCTTTTTAATCAACAATGCCATTTAAACTTGCAGCAAAGGAATCCTTGAATCCTTGAGGAGAAGAGCAAGGATGATGACCGATGGATTCAACAGCTGCAAAAATGTTGTTTGTAATTTCACTGAAGGTAAAATAGTTGTTTCTGAACAGAGAATGTCAAATCTTTCCTTCTTGTGTTTCTTACTCTGGATCTTTCTTGTTGAATCATACAGGTGCCATGTATTCTTTTCCTCAGATCCGTTTGCCTCCGAAAGCAATCGAAGCATCCAAAAATGCAGGAAAAGTTCCAGATGTTTTCTATTGCCTCAAATTATTGGAAGCAACTGGCATCTCCACTGTCCCTGGTTCTGGATTTGGTCAGAAAGAAGGGTACTTCTCCATTCATTTTTATTTTCATTTCATCATTCCTGTTTTCTTTTGCGAAAGCTGTGACACCCTCGACCTAGGTTAGAACCTGAACTTATAGATTAGTTTATGCTTAAGTTCATAGGTTCTTCTAATCTGCTTCAAACAAGTTCGTAGCTAGTAACATGTGTTATTTCCGATCAGGGTCTTCCACTTAAGGACGACTATTTTACCGGCCGAGGAAGACATGCCTGAAATCATGTCGAGTTTCAAGAAATTCAATGACGAATTCATGGAGCAATACGAAGCTGTTAAAATCTGATATGATGAATTTGTATCTTTCCTCAACTTGGAAGTAAGATAATTATGTTGTATTTTAAGTCCTACTGTTCTGTTCCTTGGTTTATGTATGCTGTGCTTCAATAAGACCATACTGAATTTTCTCTATTGTAAAATGGCAGTCAATCTCTATGCAGCAACTCTCCTTTTTGTAACCTTTAAATTTACCCTGATCAAAAAATTAATTAAATTTCAAATTTATCACATAATTTTATTCATGTAAATATCCAAATTTGTCACTTTTCCATTAGTTTTGGATAATCACAAAATAATTCAAGTTATGTCACTGTTCTCCCAAACATTTCAGTCATAATCAAAGTCTCCCTTTTCTAAACGTGTAAAAAGATGAGGGGTAGGTCCTAACACTTATCTTCCTTGACCGGAGTTCCCAAGTCATCGAAGAACTCCATCAAAAACTGGAGAAAAATGGCATCCCAAGCCTCAACAGGTTACAGCAGAGCTAAGGAGCTGAAGAAATTCGATGAGACAAAAGCCGGTGTTAAAGGACTTATAGATGCCGGCACAGTAAACATCCCCAAGATGTTCATACGACCAGCAGAGGAGCTTTCCCAGGAGGTCATCATCAATTCTACACACACAAACAACAACATCCAAGTTCCCATCGTCGACCTAAGTGGCATGGAAGTCGATAGCCGGCGTAAGGAGATGGTGGACCAAATTAAGATTGCATCAACAGAGTGGGGTATTTTCCAAGTAACCAATCATGGGATCCCTTTGAACGTGCTGGATGAGATGATAGATGGGGTGCGTATGTTTAACGAGCAAGATTTGGAGTTGAAGAAAGAGATGTACAGTCGTGACACCACAAAGCCAGTAAGGTTCGACTCCAACACTGATTTGTATACATCAAAAACTGCTGATTGGAGAGACACTCTCTTCCTTTCTTCCTTCCGTTCTGATCTTGACCCCAGCAAAATCCCAGCAGTGTGCAGGTATATACAAGTAAACACACACTGTTAAAATCTTTTAATCATATATGACCAAATGAATTCGTTGTTCAATCTTTTGAAAATCAACCATAGAGTATGTAAAGCATAACAGAAGGTTAGGAGAAACGTTGTTCGAGTTGCTGTCGGAGGCACTCGGACTCCGATCAGACCACCTCGGCTCGATGGGGTGTGGCAAAGGGTGTAGCATCGTGTGCCATTACTATCCGCCTTGCCCCCAACCCGAACTGACTTTGGGAGTGAAAAAACATACGGATCCAGGCTTCTTGAACGTGCTTTTGCAGAATGAAATCAACGGTCTCCAAGCCCTTCACAAGGGCCAATGGTTAGATGTTCACCCCACTCGAGGGGGACTGATTGTAAACATCGGAGATCTTCTTCAGGTCATACAATTCCATATTCTGATTTGGTTGAGATTCTTGTTTCCAGATAGCCACTAACTCATAAGTTGTTTATGGCAAATTATATCAAATGACAAGTTGAAGGTGTGAGGCATAGGGCAGTAAACAAGAATGCAGGTCCCAGAATTACAGTGTCGAGCTCTTTCTAAGGACATGTTAGCTTGCTTCACGAAACGTTCAGCTCAATCAATGAGTTGACATCAGAGGCTGATCCTCCTCGATACAAAGATGTGTTAAAGGAATATTATGCCAGATTTTTATCAAACTCAGATGGTAAGTCTCTTACCGATTACTACAAGATGTGAAAAAGTAAAGTAACCCCATCGATGGCCTGGAGGAGTTTAAGCGTTGGTTGATACGTATGCAAGATGTGGGTGTATTGAAGTTTTCAAATGAAATGCTGAGGGGTTGAAGTCGTAATAGAATATTGAAATGTTAAGGGTTATTTTTATAATTAGGACAAAACTAAAATAAAGTGTACGTAACACCCTGAATTATGAACCATAATTTTTCTAAGTTCAATGATCAAATTTTTTAAAGGGTTTAAATATTAATTTAAGTCATTGAGAATATAATCATATTCGATTGAGTTCATTTTATTCGAGGTTGGCTTAATTAAAAATTAAATTGAAAACTAAAATGTAGTAATTGATGTTTAAAGACCAATTTGAAATTGAGGCAAATGTGGAAACTTTTCATATCAATTATTCCAACAAGTGAACTAGTGGAATTTGGTAGAGAATTTTAGTATAGGTGTCGAGGAAACTTGAGTTATCAATTTGAGACATATATTAAAGTTAATTGTATCTTAGAAAGTTAATAATAATATTTCTTTTATTTCATTTTGGCGAAACCTAATTGGAAAGAAAATTCTTTCATCTTCTCTAAATTGCTTTTGGGATTTAGGATTTAGGCTTACACTGAATATAATTATGAAGGATTGGAAAAAAGATTTAGGGATAAGACTTACCAATCAGAGAAAGGGAATGTGGGAATACTGTAATCAAGGGTATGAGGGTATCCTGACGCTCGTTTGGGACGAATACATGAAGAGGTTGAAGGGGTGCGACGCAGTGCACGAGGGTGCAGAGAGGTACTATCGTGGCTTGGAATGTTGAACGTAGGGTATCGGAGATAAAAATTGTTACAACCTGAAAAAAAAAATGATGAAAATTTATTTAATTTGGTGAAATTTAAGGGCTAAATTAAAAGTTTTCAGAATTTATAGGCCGTTTTAGAAGTTGAAGAAAATTCAGGGACCTAATTCTAAATTTACCCATTTTGTGTCGACAGAGAAAAAAAAATAAATATGTTAACGTATGGTTTCTGGTTTCAAACCAGAAACAAAAACTAAAATTTCCACCCATGCCAACCCTTCTTCTACAGTCAAATTCGTCGTCATCCGGCCGTTCCATCTCGCACCACCACTCCCGTTTGGTTCGTCGTCGACCGGTGAACAAAACCTTGCAAATCTCTCGTCGTGAAACATCATCTAACGCCGTGAATTTCGACTCGAATTTTTGAAGTTTTTTTTAACCCCACCGTCGTGAAAATTGTCGATTCGTCGTTGATTGTTGCTCCGTTTTCAACACCTCCCGCACCATCGTGTTCCTTGCATCGTTCCGAGCCTACCAGTGTCGCTTTTGTCTCCGTTGTCACCGACATGTGAAGGGGTGAGGAAGATAAAGTTTATGACGTTTTAAAATCGAGCTCTCCGCCGTTCAAAATTATGAAACGAGCTTGGTAAGTGACTCAAAATCCCTTAAAATAATTTTAGAAATTTTTGTGGAATTTTCCGACCTCCTAGTAAGCCGCACGCGCCGCCCCCGCTGAGTGGTGGATAGCCTGTAATGGGCTGACCGACCTGAACCGACCCGCTGACCCGCCCCGCCTAATGACCTGATTTGACCGCCCATTGACCGCCATCGTTGACCATTAACTTTGACCAAAAAGTCAAAATTTTCGAAAAGTCCTATCTTATGTTTTTCGACATCCTGAGTCCGATTCTGAAGTCAATTTTGCCAAATTCAAACCCGAATTGACTCGTAAACCCGAAAAATGCATATTATTTAATTGTTTTAATTTAGTTAATTGAATTAAATGATCAATGACTAATTATTGTTATGGTATGTTAAAGGTACTTAGGGATCTCCTGACCGTTTCACTGCTCGACCCGGTTCTTCCCGATCCGCTCTTCCTCGAGAGGCCGTGAATACACGTATAGTTCTATAACCCTAGTAGTTATTATGTTTAGAATATTATTCCGAATATGACCATGTTCTGATATGGCTTAGGTTCCCGTTAAGTTGAAGAGCCTAGTGAAGCTGGTGTTCGATAGATCTTCCGGACTGACCCTATTATCGAGGTGTGTTCCTTGTGTGCAGTATAAATGTTTTAAATATCTGTTTGAAATCTCATGTGCACATGAATGTTTTCTCTGATTTGAAATATAATGTTTGATCTGGTTTGACTACTGTATGATTTATCTGATTTTCGATTTACTGAAATGTAAAGCATGATTGTTTGACTTACGATTTTTGGAGATTGTTTTACTGAATCGATGATCTGTCTGAACTCTGATTTATGGCTGCAACTGGTCACTGTGTGAAAATTGTTTTCTTCGGGGTACTTTAGGATATGGTATGAAGACTCTGGTAGGTTCAGTAGCTGCTTTTAATTCCTTTTATAGGTTCTGCACGGACTGGTAATTTCTTATGGACCTAAGACGACTCTTTGGTTGGCTCCTGGGCCTAATGGGCCTAGTGGTAATACCTTATGGACCCTAAGGCACTCCCTTAGGGTGACTCCTCTGCTGTGTGCATTGGGTAAGTCCTTATAGGCTTGAAGGCACTCCCCTCAAGTGGGCATTTACATTTTGGCTAGGGTAAGACCTTATGGACCCAAGGTGTTCCCTTAGGTTGGCATCTACTCCCTTCGGACATAGGGTAAGTCCTTATGGATGCAGTTCTGGGGAACTGCATATGGCGTTCGGTTAGAGGACGATTATGAGTTTTTAAACTGAAAAAAACTCTTATGATGTTTTAATAAATGTGATCTGTAATGATTTTAAAAGCATAACTGTATGTTTTTATTTTCTGTACTGTTGGGACACATTGAACCTCTAGCTCACTTTTCAAACTGTTTTACCCCTTTCAGATACTCTCGGATAGACACTCAGTTTCAGTCACTTTGAGGATTGTACATGTGCATTATTTTTGAAGTGCTTATCTTTTTATGATGTTTACTGCTTTTGCTACTGATATCTGATTTACTGTGCTCCAGAATTATTACATGTTTTATTTTTACCTGATCGGTTTTAGTTTTATATTTATGAGTTAGGTTTTATCGTTATTTATTATAATTTTTATAAATGTCATTTGTAATATTATTTTAAATTATCGAATAACGTTTTTGGTAAAAGTTTTTAAGAATCTTTAATGTAATCCGTTAAACTTAGTCGAAACGCATAGGTTGGGTCTAAAGGTTACAAAAATAATAATATCAATAAGCTAGGGTTTAGATGTAGGAGAATACGAAAAGCCAAAAAAGAAAGAAAAGGATCAAATTATTATAATTTAATAATTATTTCAAATTAAAATGTGGAACAAATTGATATTTTTTTAATATTGAGCATTTATTTAATTATTTTAAATTAAGATAAAATTGATAGAATGTGTAAATTTTAAAAACTAAAATTAATATCAAATCATGTGATATCATTATTTATGTTAAATCAATAATCAAATATAAGAATAGGTGCCAAAATAGAAATAAAATGCAGCATTAGATATATTTAAAAAAAACAATTGAATGGCTAAAACAGAGATACTGGAATAGATGATGTATCAAATAGGTAGTTTACCAATTAAAATATCATGAGTAAATGAATGGGTAATTAGTCATTGAAACGAAAGTAAGTGGTAATGTTAAAACGGAACCAATTCCGTATCCGTTAAGTAGGCTATGCTTATTTCGAATAGTTTAAAGGCTTTTCACTTTCTGTGGAGGAAAGTGCAGATGCCAAAGCTCAACAAAAACGAAAACAAAAGCTCTTAAACCCTCCAAAATAGCAAAAGGGAAATGACTCTCAAATTCAACCCCATCACTTTTCAATCTCATAAACTCCCTTCATTTTCTCTTTCTCCAATGGCAAGCCTCCGATCTCCCAAGTTCTTCATGGCCTCCACTCTTCGTTCTGGCTCCAAGTAGGCTTCTTTCTTTCCCTTTTATGTGCCCTCTGTGTTCATTGTTACATCTTTAATATTTTCTTGTCAAATTTTGGATTTTGTTGCTGATTTTTCATTTAGGTCTCTGTTGTTTTTGCTAACTCATGGTTATGATCTTAGTGTTCTCTTTTTTTAATGGTCTCTAATGAAGTTCTTTGATCTTGGTTTTCTCTTTGTTCAATGGTCTCTAACGTAGTTTTCCGTTTGGGATGATCATTTTAATTTATAAACCGCTTAAATAAGGTTTATTTCTTATTAAATGTTTGTACTTTCTAGTTCATTCCTATTTTTTTATATTTTCCTATGTTATTTTTACTAATCAAGGTTCAATTATAGGAAAAGCACGTTTCTTTCAATGGTTGTTTTTGTCGTTTTTATGAATTTATTTGCCTACCATCTTTATTTTTGATGTTTTTGTGGTTGCGTGTTTGGTGGGTGGTTTATATTTTCATTATCAAAATTGAGACTTTGAGAAGTTGGTATTAGACTCAGTTCTGTGCTTCATTGGAATTATCGCCTGCTATGAATTTTAGAGTGAAAGAGGTCCTGTCATGTTTAAGCTTCTAACTTTGTGTCGCTTTCATGTGAAGGCTCCATGATAGTTTCTTTTTCTTCTCTTAGTATATTCTCAAGTATATTATTTCGATATGCGCGTTTCTTGTTGGTTTTTTTTATATTGGTTTGACTGCAAGATACCTGGATTTCTTGTTCCTGTCACTGCATATGCTCATACTTGGAAGCAAATGGGTTTTCCATGATATGCTATTTCGTTGTTTGTGCAGCTTTAACTCGATTTCGAAACATGTGAATGCTCCACACAAAAGGGTCTTTCAATTTTCCATTTGTTTCAAT